GGATAAAGACAAAACCCACCAGGCTGCATCAGGAGCATGAGAAATAACTACTTACTGTGATATTCAAATTTAATGAGAACAATAAAAGAAAAGGATTTCTAATTTATATGTATCTTAAACTTTATCTCGCAGATGCATGTGCACTACATACCAGACATATATGCACATAACACAAATATTACAAGTGAGAAAAGAAGATTATAAACAGGAGAATGCAGTCTGTAAAATCAATTCAAATCACAAAACGAAGTGGAGGTTGGTTTCACAATTGCGTCAGTTCTTCTGTGATGTTATCAGCGCAGTGATGTTCAGCCTTTCATTGCTCTTTGAGTAGGGAATTGGAGAGAGCAACTTTGCAGAGAAAGAGGAAACAGAAAAAATGATGCAGCCAATTTTTGAAATTTCTTTGCTTCTGTTTTTATTTCCATTATGGAATCTATGCTAAACTACAGTCTACCAATCTGAGGATTGTTACTGTTGAAACACTGCCAGTTTGTCTGGACTGAATATCCCTAAAATATAATATTGCCTTTTATGCATCCATTAAACTTCTCTTGTTTGTCTGATCTGAAAACAGCTCATTGCACTTCCCCCTTTTTAAAACCATTTTTCTTATTTTCAGCACAGTCAAAAAATAAAAAAGATGCGGTCTTACACTCAATGAAGAGTTCAGGAGGACATGTTAGCAGCAGCACCAGGTGTACCTAAAATTTGAGATGTAAACCTACTGGACCTACAACACAGGAATACTTTTGTGCCAAACAGTATAACTGGCACATGATAGACAGGGCTAAGCCATTCCACAATGAGCAGATGAAATTTAAGCTCTGCAGTCCTTCCACATCTAGTCATGAATGACGGTGGACAATTAATAACTCACTGGAGGAGAGGGGCTGTACAAACATTCCCATCCTCATCAGGGCAAAAGTTACTTGTATCTATCTTCAGCAGAAGTGCCAGAGTGGATGATCCATCTCGGCCTCCTCCAGAAGCCCCCAGCAGCTTAAATGCCAGTCTCCAGCCAATTCAATTCACTCCATGTAATATCAAGAAACGGCTGGAGGCACTGGATACTGTAAAGGCTGGTGTGATTAAAGAGTGCTGTCAAACAGCACTTGCATGGCAATAACCTGCTCAGTTTGCGATTTGCTAGGGTGACCTCATTACTACTTTATTTCAAACATAGACAAAAGAGTTGAATGCCAGAAGTAAATTCAGAGTGACTGCCCTTCACATCAAGGCTTCATTTGACCGTGTGGCATCAAGAAACCCTTCCAAAACTGGAGTCAGTTTTCCCCAGTTCCCACTATTTGCTGGTTGAAGTTGTACCTGGCATAAAGGAAGGTGGTTGGAGTTGTTAAATGTCAGTCATCTCAGCTTCAGGACATCTCTACAGGAGTTCCTCAGCTGACCATCTTCAGACGCTTCATCAAAGAGTTCCCTCCCTCGTAAGGGCAGAGGTGGGGATTGTACAATGCTTGGCACCATTTGCAACTCCTCAGATACTCTGAGAATCATAGAATCCCTACAGTGTGGAAACAGGCCCTTTGGCCCAACAAGTCCACACCGACTCTCCAAGCATCCCACCCAGACCCATCCCCCTATAACCCACCTAATCTACACATCTGTGAACACTATGGGCAATTTAGCGTGGCCAATCCACCTAGCCTGCACGTCTTTGGACTGTTTGGAGGAAACCGGAGGAAATCCACGCAGACACAGGGAGAATGTGCAAACTCCACACAGACAGTCGCCCAAGGGTGGAATCACCCGGGTCCCTGGCGCTGTGAGGCAACAGTGCTAACCACTGAGCCACCGTGCCGCCCCTGAATCAATCTGTGTCCAAGTGCAGCAAGACCTGAATGATGTCCAGATTTGGACTGACAAGTGGCAAGTAATGATTGCCTGACACTTGTGTGGCACAATCATCATCTCCAACATGAGAAAATCTAATCAGCAAACTTTGATATTCAATGCGCTGCCATCATTGAATTTCCCACTGTCAACATCCTTGGGGTCATAATTGACCATTAACTGAACTGGACTAGCTATATGAATACAATGGCTGCAAGAGCAGGTCAGAGACTAGGACTACTGCAGCAAATAACTCATCTCCTAACTCGTCAAAGCTTGTAAAATAATTTAGTTATGGAGTTGTAGTCCACGCTCTCCCTCTACCACCTCCAACACCTGTTCTGTTACCATTCTTCAATTTTACTGTTCAGTTAAAATATGGGAGGTGGTGACTAGTAATCTGGGTTCAAAGCTTGTGAAGAAAAACCCAGTCCGAGAGCTTCTAATGGTGAATGAAACTGAGATTCTGACCAACTTTGGGGAATTTAAAATAAGTTGCCTGAGCCATTAGAATAGTATAACCAATTGGAATGATCATCTCCAAAGTTGCCTGCTGTGACCCATAACTTTTGCCCCCATTCTGTTGGATCTTACATGCAGCCATAACTCTGAAACCAGTGTTTGTGTTTTTTATTTGGGAAGCCTCTGTACTTCTACTTTAAGAAAATTACAACTCATTTCCACGCGAAAGTATTGCCTTACTGTGCATGAAGAGTTTATACATAGAACACTTCCATTTTCAGTGATTGCGTGTGCTTCACCAAGTCAGTGTACTAATCCTTGACCTTGCTTTCACGTGTATCTTTAACATTGTTTCATGCTGCTTCAGTCATCTCCTGCTCCACGTCCTGCCCATTTATACTCCCTACTTATTGTTCTTTCTCCTTCCTATAATCTTCCTACCAATGATGCAACCCCGACTCAGAAATCCAAGCCCTAAATTCCTCTGCACTTTGTCCCATGCAGCTCTTCCATCACAAAAAATGTTCTGTCTTTATTAGTTGCATATTTTAATATCATCTCCCTTTTCCCTTCCCCAGTGCTCCCTCTGGTTTCTGATCCTTACACAGGGATTCAGTGCAGATATGTATGCACATTGTGATGTCCTTGTTGGGGAGAGAAAAAGCCTACTGTAATTTGTTAATGATCTTCTGGCCCATTAATCAAGTACTTGAAGAAACATCACAGAAAAGCAGCACTTCAGTGGCTATTTGTATTGTGGACCCAAGCTGCTAGCGTTGCCTTGCTTTGATTTCTGAAGCTCGCTGGAGACCCCCAGTGGCAGGAAGTGGATCCGTTTGCTCAGAATAGATTGTGAAACCTTCTCTCAGTAATTCCCTTCACACATTCAGCTTAGTTGTTGAAATGGTAGCCCAACGTACATGATACCAGCATTGTTTCAGAGGATAGCACGCATTCCCCACAGGCTGTGGGGTCAAATCCCAATCCAGAGACCTGAATGCATAAACTTTTAATGCTTTACTGCAGTTCTGTTGGAGGCTTGGGACCAAGGGAGTGCTAAGCTGTCATAGGGACAGCACTGAGGAAGTTCTGCACCGTTGGCGGTTCAGTTCCAAGGGAGTGCAGCAAGTTTCAAGTCCAATCTGAAATTTTGGAACTGAGGCCCTTAATTCTGAAGAAGGGGTAAATGTAAACCCTGGGTTTCAGGCACTGTAACTCTCCAGAATTGCTCTTTGCACCAACACCTCCCAGTCGTTGGGGAAGATCCACAGCCACAAGGGAGATGTTCTTTTCCAGTGACTGAAGTTATACCTGAACTCTCAGCACTGGCACTTTTTTTGCGTCCAAAAGAAAAGACTAAGAAGAGATTTAAACAATATTCTTTATAATCAAGTGAAATTATGATCACATCTCTGCACAGGAGCTATTGATGAGCTGTCCATTTTAAGTTATCATTGAGCAAGGACAGCTTAGGACAAATGTCCATAAGTGACGGATTATGGAGTGGTTGAGGCCAAAAGCTCATTGTGTCTTTTAAGGGAAGAGTGAATAAATGATAGAAGAAAAGGGGAAAACAGGGTTCTGAGAAAAAAAAAGGACAGTAGCAATAACTTTGGATTATCGTAGCTGTTGCTAGTGTGATGGGCTGAATGATCACCTTGTATGCTATAAATCTCTGGTGCTTGTGATTGCACATTTGCTTCTTGCAACTGATGCAGCAAAGTCACAGACGTTTCGTTACCATGCTGGGTAATATCCTCAGTGCAGCCTCCGATGAAGTGTCGGTGTGCTTTCCCGCCTGGTTTTTAAACTCTGGGGTCAGTTGAGATGGATTGCCTCACTTCCGGTTTTCCTTTGTAGTGGAATGTATATGGGGTCGAGTTCAATATGTTTATTAATAGCATGCTTCGTGGAGTGTCAGGCTTCTAGGAATTCTCGTGCCTATCTCTGCCTAGCTGGTCCCAGGATCTTGGTGTTGTCCCAGTCAAAATGGTGGTTCTCCTTGTTCATGTGCATTGAGATGAGTGAGTATTGGTCGCGAACACCAACTGGCTACAAAAAGACACGACCAATACTCACTCATCTCAATCCATATGGACAAGGAGAGCCATCATTTCGACTGGGACAACACCAAAATCCTGGGACAGGCTAGACAGAGACAGGCACGAGAATTCCTAGAAGCCTGGCACTCCACGAAGCATGCTATTAATAAACATATTGAACTCGACCCCATATACATTCCACTACGAAGGAAAACTGGAAGTGAGGCAATCCATCTCGACGGACTCCAGAGTTTAAAAACCAGGCGGGAAAACACACCGACGCTTCATCGGAGGCTGCACTGAGGATGTTACCCAGCATGGTAACGAAATGTCTGCGAAACAAGAAACCAGCTCGGTGAGCCAACCAATCTCAACACCCACAACCTGAGCTACAAATCTACTCCAAAACCTTACAGTAAAGTCAGTCTCACACTGGAGCCTCTGGCATCACAGAGGCTGCAACAGCTATATGAAGTGTGCACATGAGCTGGTTGTCTAACACTCAGAATCAGAAGATGTGCCTGAAGCGATTCCTGCAGAGTGGATGATTAAATCATTGAACATGTTGCTCGGGGTGAGGAGCTAAGTCTGTCGTTCTTTTTCCATTGTTTGATAACTGGCAAATTTAACTATCCCCAACAGGATCGAATCCACGAATAGATTATGCCATGAAGGAAGCAATGCACGGTATTTCAAAGATGAGTGCCAAAGATTTGGAGTGGAAAGATGCTGAACTAGCACGGAAACTTCAAGAAGAAGAGATTATGGTGAGCAGAGAAGCATGGAGTCATGTTTGTTAATATAAAATTTGCTGACATTAATAATTCAATTATCTGTCTACAGTAGTGTCAGCCATTGCACAGTAGCTCGCTCACTCACCTCAGCAAAATTTCCTAGCTTGGCTTCCCTCGGTGCGTTGCTGAAGGGGTAATGATCTGTCAGAGGTGCATCTCTGATGCAGTAATAAACCTGAGACCAGTCTTAACTGGTTAACTAATATACTTTAGGGAAGGAAACTATCATTCATACCTGGTCTGGCCTACATCTGACTCCAGACCCACAGCAATGTGATTGACTCTCGACTGAGCTCTGGGCATTAGGGATGGGCAATAAATGCTAGCCTAGCCAGCAGTGCCTACATCCTGTGAATGGATAAAACAAAATTTAAAAACCTTAGCAGTGTGAAGATCCAATTGCACTCTTCAAACAAGCAGGGAATTTCTGCCCAGTCTCCTGACCAATGTTTACATCCAATAGCCCTTATTTAAAATGAAGTTAACTACCTAGTTACTGGATTTAGAATCTTGTTGTGCACACGTCTGTCTGCTGCTCTGTTTTCCAACATTACAGTGATTGTGCATTAAAGTTACTTGATTGAGTTTAATGCACTTTGTGAAATCCTTATTCATGAAAAGGTCCAAGTTTTTTAAAAAAAAAACACGTTAACATTAAGAGTTAATTTCCTCAGCTTTTTTTTCCTGAGTCCTGTTAAAGTTTGACTTAGTTTTAATTCTTGTAATAACTGTGCCTCATCAAAACTAAGGGCAATGTGCAAATGTGTTTTTCTGCTGATGACACTTGGGAAATGCACCATCCTCTTTAACAATCAGTTCAGTGAAAGCAGCTGAAGACTCCTCTGGAATTTCAGCATTTATTGTCCATCCCTAACTGCTTGTAACATCATGTGACATTGGAGTCCCCAGTCAAGTATAGGAATGGCAGGTTCCCTTCCCTCAAAGACATTCTTGAAGTAGTTTTGTTTTCACAGCAGTCTGGCAATTATTATGGTGCTTCTCTTAAATTCTCAAAGTTATTGAATTGCATTTATGTAGTGCCCTTCATGATCACAGGATGTCACTAATCATTTTGCACCCTATATAAATGCAGGTTTTGTTTCCTTGTATGTTTTTGAAATGTTTTTATTCTTGGAAATCTACTCTTAAAAACTAAATTTCTCCTTTAAAATAATGCAGAAACTAAGAAGGGAGCTTCCTGCTATCAAGCAATTTTCTGTTTCTCTCTCTCTTTCACGCACCTCTGAAAACACTTGTTCTGGGGTTCAGCCACCCTCCAGTGCTACACCTGCACGGACCCACAATGTCCGTGATGGAGCCTGCACCTTCCTTGTGCACGGTGCTGTCTGGCCAAGGTAATTGTTAAATATACCTAGCCAACTATGTCCCCCACTCCCCATCTCCAGCAGGTATGTGAGGAGTTTTGTGGTGAATTTTTATCGCATAAAATTGTGCTGTCAATATGTTTTCCTTGGAAGAGTAGTTGTCTGCAGGTAATACAGGTTTGAGAGAGATTGTGGCATATTGATAATATGACTGTACTAGTAGTCCAGAGGTTATAGGCTATTGGTCTAGGGACAAGGGTTTAAATCCTGCTATGGCAGATGGTGGAATTAAAATTCAGTTCTTTAATCCCGGAATTGGTCTGGTCCACATGTAACTCCAGACCCATAGCAACTGCCCTCAGAAATATCCCAGCAAGCCATTCAGTTCAAGGAGTTAGGGATAGGCAGCAACCTTGGCAATGGTGCCCTCATTCTAGCAAAGAATAAAAAAAAAAGCCAGCTGTGAACCAGTGCAGTCACCAAGCAGAAAACTCGTGTTTGTTTTTCTTGCTACAGGCGATCCAAAATTCCAAGAGAGGAGCTCAGATGGCACAAGATGAGGTAAGACCATCCTTCACTGTCTATGCCAAACCATGCAACTATGCAGCAGGTGATATAACTTTATATTCTTGTTCCAATTGGTTTTCTAGGGAAGAATTGTTTCCCAAGAGTTGTCTCAATGTGACGTTTATTGCAGCAGGCTCTGTCTTTCGTGCTGTGACCTATGTTAGAGTCAGGCTCGATGGAGTTGTGTAGCACTGGAATTAATGTTCAAATCTTTCACTGGGCACCATTTGCAGGAGATTGCCCGGTTACTAATGGAGGAAGAGAAGAAGCACTCCCATAGAAAATCCAAGGAGAAAGATTCTACACGGAGAGGAGAGGAAGACAGAAGGAAGGGTTCATCAGAACGCAGGAGGCATGATCAGGACAAAAAGGTAGAGGTGGACCACTGTTTGATTAGGGCCTAATTTTTAAAAAAAAAATGAGAATTCTGAACTAGGCAAGAATTTCTTCTGGATTTTTCTTGACAATTAGAATTTTTTTGAAGGGGGTGTATGTCAACTCATGGTAAAGAATATCAATTTCTATAATTCTTTAGCACACATCTGACAACCTAAAGGTTACTTGTTCATGGAGTGCATCTTTTTCTTTGAAATGATGTCATGTAGATTCTGTACATCCACCTTAACAGGTTGACATAAACTGGTAGCCAGGGATTTGCTTTAAAATCTCGTTCTAAGATTGCCCTCTCTTTAAATCAGTAATCCTACTGTATTATTCTGGCATAAGACAGTAAGGCATTGGAGCAGAAAATAGGCCATTTGGTGCATTGAATCGCTCCACCGTTCAAAGTGACCACTTAATTGTCGTTGAAGTCCTAGATTGAGACTCAAAGTCAGGACCTCTTAACCAGACTGATTCCTGGGATGGCAGAACTGACATACAAAGAGAAACTGGATTCAGCACAACTAAATTCACAGCGTTTAGGAGAGCGAAGAAATTCTCATAGAAACCTATAAAACTGTAACGGGACTAGACCGAGTAAATGCAGGAAGGATATTCCCAATGACTAGTGAGTTCAGAATCGGGAATCACAGACTAAGGATACAAGGTTGGTTATTTAGGACTGAGCTAAGAATTCTCTGCCACAGAAAATTGTTGAGGCCAAACGTTGAAAATTTCAAGGAGTTATAGTTCTTAGGACTAAAGGGATAAAAGGCTATGGAGAGAAAGTGGGAACAGGGTACTGAGTTGGATGATCAGCCATGATCATATCGAGTGGTGGAGCAGGTTTGAAGGCTGAATGGCCTTAGTTCTGTTTTTTACATCCAGTGTAACCTCAAAGTGAGAGTGGTACCTCTCAACAAAGCTGTTCGACTCAGCTATGATTCGGACATAGATAATGCTATGCCGCAGTTATTAATTTTGAGGTTGGTTGGCTCGCTGAGCTGGTTTCTTGTTTTGCAGACGTTTCGTTACCATGCAGGGTAACATCCTCAGTGCAGCCTCCAATGAAGCGTCGGTGTGTTTTCCCGACTGGTTTTTAATTTAATTTTTTTTTTGTCTGGTCATTGCAATGACATAGAATAAAATCAGAATGGTTAATAGAAACTAGGAGTAGGCCACACAGCCCTTTGAGCCTGCTCTGCCATTCAGTATGATCGTGGCTCATCCTCTATCTCAACACTATATTCACTCATTCTTCCTATAACCCTTGTTTAATTTAAAATCGAGCAAATTATCTATGTCTTTCTTGAAATTATTTATTGACTTGGTGTTCACAGCCTTCTGCAGTAGGGAATTCCACAGGTTTGCTAACCTTTGACTAAAGAAATCTTTCCTCTTCTCAATCTTAATTGGTCAACCCCATATCCTGAGAGAGTGCCTCCTGACGCTATACTCCCCAGCTATGGATAATATCTTCTGTGCATCTGCTTGGTCCAGCCCTGTTAGAATTTCATACTTTCAATGAGATCCTTTCTCATCCTTCTAAGCCCTAGTGAATATGGGACCAATCAAACCAATCTCTCCTCATAGCACAGTCTTGCTATTCTCTGTATCAGTTCAGTGAACCTCCACTGCACTCCCTCCATGGCAAATATATTCTTTCTTAGATAGGGAGACCAAAACTGCACGCAGTACTCTAGGTGCAGACTCTCCAAGGCCCTCTATAACTGCAGCAAGACATCCCTGCTTCTGAACTCCAATCCTCTTGCAATGAAGACCAATATACTGGTTGCCTTTCAAATTACTTGCTGCATCTGCCTGTCTAGTCTCATTGGTGTACAAGAACACCCATATCACTTTGTCCATCTGTACTCCCCAATATATCACCACTTAAATAATATTCTCCTTTCTGTTTTTCACACCGAAGTCTATAACTTGAGTCACATTGTGCTTCATCGGCTATGTGTTTGCTCATTCACTCAACGTATCTAATAAACTTAAACCTTCCTTGAATCGTCCTCACAACTCAATCCTGCCCATTTTTGTGTCATCAGCAAACCTGAAAATATTGCATTTGGTTCCCTAATCCAAGTCATTTTTATATATCATGAGTAATTGGGATCCAAGCACTCACCCTTGTGATATGTCACTACTCACTGCCTACCACTTGAAAAAAGACCCGTTTATTCCCACTCTCTATTCCCTATTTCAATCAATTCTCAATCCATGTGCTTTAACATTCCCCACAAATCTCTAATGAAGGATCTTATCAAAGTCCTTCTGAAAAATCCAAATATACCATAATTACTGGTTCTCTCTTCTTTATTTGACTAGTTACGTGCTCAAAAAATTTTCAGTAGTTTTGTTAAGCATGATTTGTAGCTCATAAACCCATGTTGGCTTTGTACAATCCTGTTACTGTTTTCCAAATGTTCTGTTATCACATCTTTTATGATAGATTCTAGCGTTTTCCCTACGTCTGATGGTAGGCTAACTGGTCTGTAATTCTGTATTTTTTTTTCTCTCCCTCCCTTTTTAAACAGTGGAGTTACATTTGCCACCCTCCAACCTGTAGAAACAGCTCCAGAGTGTATAGAATTTTGGAAGATGCTTACAAATGAATCCAGGATTTCCAAGGCCACCTCTTTTTGTACTCTGGTTTGTAGATAATCAGGCCCTGATGATTTGTCAGCCTTTAACTCTATTAATTTGCCCAGCACCATTTTTTATGACTACCAATTTTCTTCAGTTACGTCCTCTCAGTAGCCCCTTGGTTCCCTAATATTTCTGGAAGGTTATTTGTGAAGAAAGAACAAAAGTATGTGTCCAATTCTTCTATCATTTCTTTGTTCTCCATTTTAATTACCCCCAGCTTCCGACTGCAAGGGAGCCACGTTTGTCTTTACTGATCCTTTTTGCTTCACATATTTATATAAACTTTTATGGCCAGTTTCTATGTTAACTACAATTTTACTCTCAGAATCTATTCTCCCTCTCTTAATCAAACATTTTTGTTCTTTTTAGCTAAATTCTAAAATGTTCCCAATTTTCAAGCTTGCTGCTTTTTCTGGCAATTTTATGTCTCCTTTGGATCCAATACTAACCCTAATTTATTTTGTAATGAGCCACCTTTTCTCTCCTATTTATGTTCCAGACAGGAGTGAATAATTGTTATTGTTCTTTAAATGTCTTTAAATATGAACCGCTACTTATCCACCGTCAACCCCTTTAGTAAGGTTCCCCAGACTATCCTTGCCAATTTGTGCCTAATGCCCTCATAGTTGCCTTCATTTGGATTCAGGACCCTAGTTTCAGATTTGACCATTTCATTCTCCATCTTAAGGAAGAATTCTATCATAATATTGCCACTCTACCCAAGAGATCCCACACAAGAATATTGTTAATGCATCCTTTCTAGTTGCACACTACTCAGTCTAGAATAGCCTGTCTTTTGATTTTGTAAACTTCGTCTACAAAACCATCCTGTACACACTCCAGGAAATCCTCCAATGCCATTGCTAGTTTTGTTTATCTAATCTATATGTAAGTTAAAATCACAGTTGATTACAGTTATATCTTTCTTGCATGCATCTCTGATTTCTAGTTTTACGTCTTCCCTTATATCACCACTACTGTTTGATGGCCTATAGACAAGCCCCAACAACATTTTCTGCCCGTTATTGCTTTTTCTTATCTGCACCCATAAAATTCAATATCATGATTTTGCAAGCCATTATATTTCCTCACTATTTCATTGATTTGTTTCTTTACTGGTAATGCTATTTCATCAACTTTCTCTTCTGTTTGTCTTTCCTAAATAATGAACAGCCCTGGATGTTAAGTTCCCATTTTGGTAAGCCTGCAACCATGTCTCTGTAAAAACAACTTCATATCTATCTTTTAACTCTATTAGATAAATTGCCATTAAGATCTATTTGTGCTGCTAAACCAACTAACCTTAATACAAATGCTCCAGGCATTGAGATACAAAGCCTTTAGATTTGTCTTTTCAACTTGTTAGTTGTCTTAGCTTTTTTCTTTGCATTGTGGCACCATTTGTTTTACAATCTTGATTTTTCTGCCTTCAGCTGGTTCTCTTTGTATTTAATTTCAGCTGCCACTTGTTCACACATTTCACCAGCCTGTTCCACAAGCCTGTCTCTGTTGGACATAGTCTTTGCATATCTTCTTGATGTTGCCATGTCCTGCAGGCTCGATATAACTCCCTCCCATGTTTCAACCTAATAAATTCTAAGCCACTAAGCTCCACTTATTGCATTGTATGCTCCATCAAGTACCCTTTTACTATTCTCCACACTCTCCACTGACTTTCACTGACTTCTGAACCCAAAAAGCATTAATTTCATAATTCCAATTTACAGCTCCTCTGTGGCTTTGCCCAACCCCATCCCCCTTCTACACTTCCTCCAATTGTTTGTCCTAGGCAATATGTTTGCACCTCTGGTCTCCAGTGTTGCTCCTTTTTGCTTCTGTCTGCTGCAGTCGAGTAAGTAGTGCATTTGCCTGTGGCAGAGGGTTGTGTGTTGAAGCCCTATGCTGAAACTTGAGCACAACATTGAGACTAACACTCCCAGTGCAGTGCTGATGGAACACTGCATTGCCATGGGTGCAGTCATTTAAATGAGACATTAAACTTAGGCCCACCTCCCCTTTCAGGTGTGTGCAAAAGATCCCGCAGCATATGCAACAAAGAGTGAGAGGTTTTCCTGGTGTTCTAGTTAGCATCATTCCTTTAAACAGAATCACTTTTTAGTGAAAGATTATCTGGTCTTTTTCATGTTCAGAATTGCCTTTATTGTCACGTGAACTCAAATGAAGCCTCTCGGCGCCATCTTAGGTACAGAGTACCGAGGTACAGATATTTTAAGTGTTACAGAGTTAAAAGAAAGAGTTAACATGGGAAAAGAGTTTAAAAATGTCCAGAATGATAATAAAGTAACCGTAAGTACTTAAGTTTGGTCCCTCTCCAACATGAGACCGTGCCTGCTGGCCCCAGAACATGAGGCCACTCTGCCTGACTGTGCCAGCCTCCATGCAGGACTCGCTGGGCCGCCTCTCTGGCTCTGGCCTGTTCCACTGCCGCTGTGGGACTCAGCACATGAATCAGCCTGCTTGATCCTCTGAGGGACTGGGCCCACGCACTCAGCTCCACTCGGGCTCTGGCCATAATCTGCCTCCTTCTCTGGGTAGGGCACAGCAGTCAAAAATAGCAAAGAAAGCTACAAAGAGGAGAAATAAAGAAAGAAAAAGAAAAGGAACTGGTGAGCAGAGGCTCTCTGACTAGAGCGTCCTACTGTGCCACCATCTTGGATACATATTCAGGGATTGGCTGTTGTATTTTCTATATTGGATCAGCAAATTTCAAAATTTTAATGGGCTGGACGCACTTAGGATTATCCTGAGGTAAGGCGGAATTCTATAAAAATACAAAGTTTTCTTTATTTCTGACGTGCGTGTGTGAAGTTTGGGTTCTGTTGTCCACTCTGCCATCTTTTTTAGCACCTGGAGCAGATGCACAGTTAAACATCGGTGGTATAATCTACCTGTTGAACCCCATCATTTACAGTGAAGTAATAACAGGTTTATCTTGTTCTGTCACCAGGCAACAGGGTGTTGTGTAAAACTGTTCTCTCAATAACAGCTATTTCAGGCAACAGTTTTAAGACTTGAATTTGACACAAGGTTTCAGTTGATTGCCATAAACAGGTTGAACTTCAATCCTGTGGCCATAAGAGGATTGTTCTTTAATGAGATCATGCAGTCAAACTTACACACTTCTTTTCGTGGTGTTTGACTTGATCTGTGCCTTAGTACAAGGGCTGTTGGATGCAACACAGTTGGCTTGGAAACAGTAGTTCAGCTGTTCCTTTTGAATTAGAAACAGAAGCAATGATGATCTGAAATAAAAACAGAAAATGCTGAAAGCAGTCAGCAGGTCAGGCAGCATCTGTGCAGAGTGAAACAAAGTTAACATTTCAGATTGATGGAGTTCAGTTGGAACTGATTTTTCTCCCATAAAAGTGAATGATGTGTTTAACCTAACATGTTTCGGACCTCCTATCTGCACAATCACTGTGACCACCTATTACTACCTCCGTTTGATTACCAAACTCTGTTCGTTTCTTAATAAAAACCAAAAGAACTGCGGATGCTGTTAATCAGGAACAAAAACAAAGTTGCTGGAAAAGCTCAGCAGGTCTGGCAGCATCTGTGGAGGAGAAAACAGAGTTAACGTTTCGGGTCCAGTTCTGAGGAAGGGTCACTGGACCCGAAACGTTAACTCTGTTTTCTGTGTTCGTTTCTTAGGTCATTTGTTAGTGAAACCCTCATTCATTGCTGCCTTTCAATTTGATTTTTGCAATGCACTCCTGGCCAGCTCGCCACTCCATACTTTTTGTATACCAGAGGTAAATTAAGACTCAGCTTTCCCTGTCTGAACTCTCTCAAAATCTTGTTCCCTTATCACCCCTGTCCTCACTGATCTACATTGACTTCAGTTAGTGTGCCTTGATTTTAAAATTCCTGACTTGTCTCCAAATTCCTCTGTGACCTCAGTTCCCCTATCTCTGTGAGCTGTTCTACAGTCTACTAAAATATCTACTCTGCTGCACTTCCAGCCTCCTGAGAATCCATGGTTTTAATCGCTTCACTGTTGATGAGCTCACTTTCAACAACCTGAACCCTGAGCTCTGGAATTTGCTTTCTAAACCTCATTTAATATTGCTCTATATAGTGCAGTGTCAAAATTTCCTTAATGATGTTCCTTTGAAGCACTTTGGGCCAGTTTATATTTAAAAAAAAGGTGTCATTAGTGTCTGATAAGTTTGAGCACCCCATATATGAATATCAAACATATTTGCATAATTATGAGCACAGCTTAGATACAGAGGAGCTCAGGTAGTGGGCAAAGAGTAGGGGAGTTGGGAATTGAATAGCTTTTTTAAAGAGCCAACAAGTGCTTAATTGGCCATATTGCTTTTGATGGTGGGGAAGAGAAGGCTATAAGGAGACTTAATGAAGTTATTTAAATCATGAAGATTTTGGACAGAGCAGTTAGAAGGCAACTATTCATGTAGGTGAAAAGATCAGCTATGAGAGGACACAAATTTAAGGTGATTGACAAAAGAAGAAAAACAAACAGTGATGTGAGGGAGCTTTTACACAGCAGAATGCTGGAGTGCTGTGCCTGAGAGGGTGGTGGAAGCAGATTCAATCATGGAGTTCAAATGGAAATTACTTGAGAAAAAAACAGTTCCTCTATCAGAGAGTCAGCACTGACATGATGGACTGTATGCCCACTTTCTGCACTGTAACTATTCTAGGATTCACAGTACACAGACATTGAATACAGTGTGCAGCTCCTTCTGGTCTTCTCTATAATATGCTCAATCCAGCTGTAACAACCAAGGCTATAGGAGTGCACCACTGCTGAACTCCCAAAACTCCACTGGCCAGAATATTTTTTTAAAAATCTTCTCCCACATAGCAAGATGACCAATTAAATACCTTGTCAATCTCTGGTTTTAAACTGAAAAAGCTATCAACCTGGTTTAATAAACACCATTATGAAAACAAAACTTATTGCATCAATAAGATGCAATAGTTAGTTAACATACGCAGTCAATAACATAGATATGTAAATGCCTATCCCTCTAAATATACATGGAACCTATCAATCACATTTGTGCATGTACTCTGTCTTTCATCTGTGATCTTGCACATGGTCCTCTCGTTCTCTCTCTGTCTCGCGCGTGTATGCTCTCTCCCATGCACTTTCCTCTCGTACGTTCTCTCCTTCACTTCATGGGTGCTGTCTCTCTCACACGTGCCCTCCCGCAAGCTTATGCTCACTTGCTTCAGAGCACTTGCACATGCCCTCTCTCTCACCTGCTTACCAGCGGTCTCTATCTCTTGAACGCTCTCTCTTTCTGCATCTCCTGTACATGCTTACTCTCTTGCACACACTCATGCTCTCAAAATCTCTCTCACTGGCACTTAGTCTCCCACATGCTCTCTGTCTTGCTTACGCTCCCTCTCTTGCATGCTCTCATGCTATTGCATATGCACTCTATCTCTTGAACACTCTCATTAGCTCTAGCTCTCATGAATGCACTTTCTCTCATGCTGTCTCTTTCACCGACTCTTTCACACACTGTTTCTGACACTCTCATTCCCTCTCCTGCACACTCGCTGACACTCTCTTCAGCATGCACTCTCCTGCCTGCTTACGCTGTCACTCTCTCGCATGCTCTCACACTGTATCTCTCGCACATTCTCACACTGTCTATCTGTCGCAAATTCTGACACTGTATTTCTCTTGCCCGTATGATCTCACTGTCTCCCGCATGCTCTCTTTGGGAGCAGAGATTGACTTTCTAAGGGGGGAGTGGGTAAAAAGCACTTTGGTCAATACATTCGGCAAATAGATTTCAGAAAGAATGGTCTATAAAAGTAGGGAGGTTTTTCTAAAACAATATATTGCACTAGTCAGATCACAGCTGGAATACTGTGAGCAGTTTTGGGCCCCTTATTTAAGCAAAGATTTGCTGGCATTAGGGATAATCCAGATACGTTATGGAAGAACTGTCGTATGAGAAGAGGTTGAGGACGTTGGACCTGCACAAATTGGAATTGGGAAGATTGAGAGGTGACCTCATTGAAACCTACAAGATCCTGCAGGATAGATAGATGCAGAAAGGTTATTTCCATTGTGATAGAGTCTAGGACGACATGGCATCATCTCAGAATAAGGGGTTAGCCATTTAAAGCAGATGAGGAATTTCTTCTCTGAGGGTTGTGAATCTACAGAATTCTTTACCACAGAGAGCTGTCGAGACTGGGTATTAAGTATGTTCAAGGCTGAAATAGCCAGACTTTTAATCAGTGAAAGAATAAAGGGTCATGGAGATTTGGCAGAAAAATGGAGTTGAGGATTTTCAGATCAGCCATGATCTCATTGAATGGCAGAGCAGACTCGAGGGGGTGAATGGCCTAGTTCTGCTCCAGCGTCCTGTGCTCTTGTGAATAAAGTGTAGAATGGTCTAGAGTCTGTTCCTCAAATGTTCTGGCAAGTGGTCAAATCATTAATCTTGCATGTTGCCTCTAATTCATGCTGACAGCTTGCTCAGGATGTGCAATCTTGTTGGAGGGTTCTGATTGTCCTTTCTTTCTCTCCCATGCAGCAGGAGGTCAACGAGTACTTCAGGCCCAAGCCTCGGGATGGATCAGAACAACTGACAGGGAAGTCTGAAAGACCCGTAAGGTATGTCTTATTATAGTACCTTTCTCCCCTGTAGTCAAACTTGCCAAAAATGTTGCAAAAGGATTTTTGTGGTTTCCTGACTATGAGGAGCTTTTCAGTACCAGTGTGTACATCTGTAAAGCGAACTTCAGCAGGCAATTCAACTTTTTATTCAAAAAGTATCATATTCCAGCACAATCCAGCTCCAGGATTTCTATCATGTCGTTCCCTACCTGAAGACACATTTTTGTTGCTTTCCACTTATTCCAGAACAGGAATCTGTTTCACTCCATGCAGAGCTAGGATGGGAGTTTGGTTTTTGCTGGTTTTTATGACTCAGCATTTTGTGCCCTTGATCCATCAGGGAAGCCTTTGTATGACGTTTGTATTTGTAAACACTCATTAATCTATCGCAAGTTTTTTTTTAGTTCCCTGGGCTAATCCAGCTTCCCATTCACCAGCTATGTTGGAAAGCATCTTAGTCATTTATTTATTTATTCATTTCTAGGGCATGGGAATCGCTCCCTGTTCTTACTTGCCCTTGACAAGGCGGTGGTGAGTTGCGTTCTTGAACCACTGCACTCCATGTGATGTAGGTAGACCTAGGATGTTGTTATGGAGGGAGTCCCACGATTTTGACCCCGCGACACTGTAGGAACATCCAAGTCAGGATGGTGAGTGATTTGGAGGGGGATCTTTGAAGGTGGTGGTGTTCCCGTGTATCTGCTACCCCTTCTTGATGGAAGTGGTCTTGGTTTTTGGAAATGCTGTCGAAGGATCTTTGGTGAATTTCTGCAGTGCTTCTTGTGGATAGTATACATTAGTGCTTCTGAGTTTGTGGTGGAGCGAGTGGATGCATGTGGATACGGTTCCAATCAAGCAGCTGCTTTGTCCTGGATGGTGTCAAGCTTCTTGAGTCTTGTTGGAGCTGCACCTACCCAGGCAAATTGGGGTATTCTATCACAGTCCTGACCTGTGCCTTAAGAGTGGTGGACCGACCCTGGGGTGTCAGGAGGTGAGGTAATCATTGCAGTATTCCTAGCCTCTGATCTGCTGTCATGGCCATTGTAATTCTACAGCAAATCCAGTTGAGTTTCTAGTCAATAGTAACCCTCAGGCTGTTGATAATGGGGGAATTCAGTGATGGTAATACCAATGAATGTGAAGGGGCAATGGTTAGATTGTCTCTTATTGGAGATGGTCATTACGTGGCATTTATCTAGCGTAAATGTTACTTGCCACTTGTCAGCCTAAGCCTGGATGTTGCCCAGGTTGTATTGCATTTGAACATGGACTGCTTCAGTATTTGAGGAGTCATGTGTAGTGCTGAACACTGTAGAATTATTGGTGAGCATTTCCACTTCTGTCCTTGTGATGGAGGGAAGGTAATTGATGAAACAGCTGAAGGTGGTTTGGTTTGAGACACTAACCTGAGGAACTCCTGCAGATATGTCCTGGAGCTGAGATGACTGACCTTTGATAACTGCGACCATCTCCTATGTGCCAGGTATAACTCCAACCATCGAAGAGTGTTTCCCCGCCTCCCACTAATTTTGCTGGGCCTCCTTGATGCCACACTTAGTCAAATGTGACCTTGATGTTGAGAGATGTTGTTCTTAGCTCACTTCTGGAATTCAGTTGTTTTGTCCATGTTTGAACCAAAGCTGAATGAGGTCAGGAGCTGAAGGGCCCTCTTCTATCACTTTGCTGATGATCAAGAGTCATCTGATGAGGCAATAATTGGCTGGTTTGCATTTGTTCTGCTGTTTGTGAACAAAACATCCCAGGGCAATTTTCCATATTGTCAGGTAGATGCCAGTGTGTAACAATACTGGAGCAATTTGGCTATGGGTGTGACACGTTTGAGAGAACAAGTCTTCACTGCTACTGCCAGAAAATTGTCAGGCTCCAGTGCCTCCAACCAATTCATGATATCAAGTGGAGTGAATTGAATTGGCTGAAGACTGAAGTTCTGAGGAAGTGTCATTGGACCCGAAAGTTAACTCTGATTTCTCTTCACAGATTCGGCCAGACCTGCTGAGCTTTTCCAGCAACTTGTGTTTTGTGGCTGAACTGGCATCTGTGATGCTAGGGACCACTGGAGCAGGCTGAGATGGACCATCTGCTTGGTATTTCTGGCTGAAGATTGTTGGACTTGTTTTAGCCTTATTTTTTGCATTGGTGTGGGAAGGCGAAGGCCTAGTGGTAGTCTCACTGGACTGTTAATCCAGAGACCCAGATAACATTCTGGGAACCCGGGTTCGAATCTCGCCATGGCAGATGGTGGAATTTGAGTTCAATAAATATTTGGAATTAAGAATCTAATGATAACGATTGTCAGAGGAAAAACCCATCTGGTTCACTAATGTCCTTTAGGGAAGGAAACTGCCATCCTTACCTGGTCTGGCCCACATGTGACTCCAGGCCACACAGCTATGTGGTTGACTCTTAACTGCCCTCTGGGCAATTAGGGATGGGCAATGAATGCTGCTTGGCCAGTGACGTCCTCGTCTCATGAATGAATTTAAAAAAAAGTGCTGCCTACCCCATCATTGAGAAGGTGATTTTTGTGAAATTAGCTCTTCCATTGAGTTGTTTGACTGCCCACCACCATTTACAACTGGATGTGGCAGGACTGCAGAGCTTTGATCCAATCCGTTGGTTGGGTTCACTTAGCTTGGTCTGTCACTTGCTGCTTTTGCTGTTTTGATGCTTTGCCAGATTGACACCTCATTTTTGGTATGCCTGGTACTGCTCCTAGCATGCCCTCCTGCACTTTTCATTGAATCAGGGTTGATCTCCAGGTTTTATGGTAATGGTAGATAGTGGGATATGCTAGACCCTGAGGTTGAAGATTGCATTGAAGCATGATTCTGCTGCTGTTAATGGCCCACAGTGCCCAGTTTTGATTTGCTGATTATGTTTGAAGTTTGTTCTATAAAGCACAATGATAGGACCACACAGCACGAAGGAAGGTATTATCAATGTGGAGGTGGACTTCTTTCCACAAGGTCTATGCAGTGGTCACTCTCACTGATAATGTCATGAACAGATGTGTCTGCAGCTGGCAACATCAATAAGGATGAGGTCAACCATGTTCTTCCCTCTTGTTCGTTCCCTCACCACGTGCTACAAACTCAGTTTTGCAGCTATGGCCTTTAGAACCTGACCAGCTCGATCAGTAGTGCTGCTACCGAGCCAATCTTGGTGATGGACATTGAAATCCCCCATCCAGAATACATTCTGCACCCTTGCCACCCTCAGTATTTTCTCCAAGCACAGAGTGATCAGCTGAAGGAGGACAGTACGTCATAATCATAGAATCCGTGCCCTTAGCCCAGGGAATCTGCACTGAAAAATTCTACTGTAAAACTACCCTACAGGGGAGGCGATGGCCTCATGGTATTATCACTGGACTGTCAATCTGAGACCCAGATAATAATCTAGGCACCCAGGTTTGAATGCTGCCACGACAGATGGTGGAATTTGAATTCAATGAAAAAGAAATCTGGAATTACGAGTATAGCGATGACCATGAATCCATGGTTGATTGTTGGAAAAACCTGTCCTGTTCACTGATTTATTTTAGGGAAGGAAATTACCACCCTGGCCTGGTCTGGATTACATGTACGTGTACATGTGACTCCACACCCATAGCAATGTGGTTGTTTCTAAACTGCTGTCTGGGATGGACAATAAATGCTATCCTAGCCAGTGACACCCTCATCCTGTGAATGAATTAAAAAAAAAACTAATCCCTCTTTTCAGCACTTGGCCCATAGCTTTGAAAGTTTTAAGGGTCCCACCTCATTTGGCCTCCCAGGTTTTACATTCCAGATTCCCACTACCCTTTGGGTGAAAATAATTTACTTAAATTAGTGGAACGTTTCCTTACACATTTAATCTGAAGCCATGAGACTTCATGGGATCCAGAACTAATGTTAGGGCAACTTCCTCCTGACTGTATACCATTGTGCTGCCATCTATGCTGGTAGGACAGGATGCATCCAGAGATGGTGATGGTGGTGTCTGGAACATTGTAAGGTATGATTCTGTGAATGTGGCTATGTCAGGCTATTGCTTAGCTAGTCTCTGAGGCAACTCTCCCAATTTTGGGACTAGCCGCAAAGTGTTAGTAAGGAGGACTTTGCAAGGCCGATATAGGGCTAATTTTGCATGTGTCATTTCCATTGACTGTTGGTTGATGTCAGGTGCTCTGATACAACTGAGTGGCTTGCTAGGCTATTTCAGAGGGCAGTTCAGACCAACCACATTGCTGTGGGTCTGCAGGCCAGACCCGGTGAGGATGGTGGATTTCCTTCGCTGAAATACATTAACGAACCCAATAGGTTTTTCTGACAATCGATAATTGTTTCATGATCATCATTAGACTCTTAATTCTAGACATTTATTGAATTAAAATTCTACCATCTGCCATGAAGAGATTCAAACCTGGGTCCTAAGAACATTACCTGAGTTTCTGGATCAATAATCTAGCAAAAATATCACTGACCTAACACCTCCCCCAGTGTCATTTTCTTTTTCTGTGTGCTTTTGGTCACTGACATCATCCAGTTTCATTCCCACGTCATCTGTGTTATCCCAATCGCTTGAACAAGGTTCCCATCACTTGAAGGAGTCCGAAAGAAATTTTCCAAAACACTTCTCTCTCATGTGTTCCCATTGCAGGAGATGGACGTTGCCATTAAAGAGGACCGCCATGATCCATCTATGCTAGTACATTTGCACCCATGACATCATATCAGCTCTTGATAGAAATCAAAACCAGTCAAAGTCAGTTCAAAATATTTATGATGTAAAGAAAGAAATGTTGTAATTGCAGGCTCTGTCAATTTAAACATGCAATAGTTTTCACTTGTCTGCTGTGACTAAAGTGGTTTTGTCTGATAATTGTAAGCAAAATATATTGTGACTCCCAAACTGGTTTGTATTTTTAAAATATGCTGAACAGTCAGATTGTAAATATTTGAAGATAGTTTTTGATCTAACATTTCTTTCTCACAACATAGGTCACAAGCCCTTTACATTCTTCCTAGAACCATCCCTCCAATAGTTACCCGCATTTCTTTTGGCCGTGGTAACTTTATTTACATTACCTTATGGTACACAGCATGTTAATGTTGGATGCTCAAAAGTAACATTCTGACTGTGTGCACAGTATTCCATCTAGCAAAGGCTTCTTTTTGCAAACAGTTTTTCAGCTTTTCCTAGGAGATTACTCAGCTTGGAGCAGGCAGAATGTTATAATTCGTGCATCTGTAATGTTCCCCTCTCTTTCCTTTAAAATCTGGGATGGAAACTATCTGGCCAAAAGGATCTGATACTCTTCGGTGCCATTCTTTTGTTCACTGTTATTTTGGTGATAATTCCATTTCCTTGGTCGAATACTACTACTCTTTATATTCCCAATATGCAATTGCTGTCATCTACTGTAAATATTGACACAAAGTGCAAATTCAACATGTTCTTATTTCCTTATTTTAATTAACAATATTACTGTTATCAATTTTCAAAGGGCCCATACTATTCCTTATCTCTCTCTCCTTTTTTCCTACTATACTTGTTCAAAATATATGTTGTTTTTGATATGCCTTGCAAGTTTCTTTTTCATATTTTGCAGCTCTTACTATAGTTGCGTAGTTGCCTTTTTCTGTTATTTTACATCGCTTTCACTTGCTAGGATCAGTGCTACATTTTGAAGTTTCATGAGTTATCTTTTTGTTTTATGTTGTCACATACCTCTTTAGTCATCCATGGCTACTTTTTTGGCAAGTAGAGCTTTGTCCCTCAGGCATATGAACTGGTTTTGTATTGCATTAAATTCTTTGAGAGATTCTTGGCACCAAACCTGTGTAGCAGCCATTGGGTTGAATTTGAATGGTAGACCAAACCAACAAAAGCCTCTTCTCTCAGTCATTTTGTCTGTCCCCTCTGTCGCTATCCACCAGCTATTCCTGCCAGCCACCACACCTTTAATTTGCAAGAGCACAAGAATTGTCTTGTAAAAACGAAAATCACCAAAAGCTTATCTATCCCAGAACCCGTTGAATACCCAATCTACCTGTCAATTCAAACATCCACAATTAAAGCAATCATTATATTGTCTGTAAAGCAATAACCTTTCATTATTTACAAAATTGTCTATTTCACATTGCATGTTGTAAGAATTCTGTTTATTTCTGGCTGAAAGCGTTGTGTGTAGTCTCTCGTCCGTGCTTGATGAAGGTGCACTGAACATAATGTAAAGTAACCAAAAATGCCTGTTAATGCTCAATTATCTTTTACACATTGAATTTCTTCTAAATGAAGTTTGGGTTGCAGTTTGGAAACTGACCAGTTAAAATAAAGCAGTTGCTGAGAGGTGAAGCTTGACTTCAATTAAAACACAGCTATATGAGAAGGGTCAATAATGACTGAAATAGTATTCTCAGTTTCTGTGATATAGCAAAGAAAGTGGAATGTGCCCTTTTTAAACAATGGGAATTGTAATGTTGTTTGCTACAGTGGCGTAACAAAGTCCTGTAATTACCTTTTTTGAGCAAAATAGTTTTGCTGCTTTGCTCACAGACTCCCAATGCCTCCTTTTCTCAGAGCCATGAAGATTTCACAGCATGGAAAAGAGGCCTATCCTGTCCACACCAGTTACCAAGCACCTATCTCCTCAAAAGCCGTTTTCTGGCGTTGTATGCTACGGTATTTAAAGTGTTTGTCTGAACACTGCTTACATGATGTGAGGAATCCTGCTGCTATCAGGCTTTTATGAAGTGAGTTCCAGATATCCCCACTTCCTCAGATTTCCTGTCAAATTCCTCCCTATACCTTAAACATATGACCCTAGTAATCGATCCTTTGGCTAAGTGGAAAGATTTCTTACTATCTGCCCTATCTGTGCTCCTCACAATTTTGTATACCTGAGTCAGGCGCTCTAAGGAAAATAACCCCAGCGTGCCTAATCTCTTCATAGCTGAAATGCTCCCGGCCCAGGAAACATCCTGATGAATCTCCGATGCACTGTGTCTCGTACAATCTCATCCTTATTATAGTCCGATGAGCAGAACTTCAGACAGTAGTCCAGCTGTGGTCTAACTAACATTTTATATAACTGAATTGTATCCTCATTGCTTTTATATTCAATGCCTTGACTAAACTAAAGACAAGTATCCCACATGCCACCTTAACCACTTCATGTAGCTGCCTTCAGGAATCCATAGACATTACACCAAGCTCCCACATTCCTCTGACTTCCTCAGATTCTGCTATTCATCTTGCATTCCCCTGTCTGTTGGTCCTTCCAAAATGCATCACCTCTCACTTTTCAGGATTAACTTCTATTTGCTACTGATTAGCCCATCTGACCAGGCTTGGCCATATTGTTCTGTAGTCTAATGCTTTCCTTCTCCCTGTTTGCCAAACCACCAATTTTCATGTCATCTGCAAACGTGCTGAAAATACATTTTACATTCCAGTGTAGATCATTAACGTAGACAACAAACAGCAAGGGACCAGCACCGAACCTTGTAGTAGCCACTCCACATGGGCTTCCAACCACAAAGACTCTTCAACCATCATCCTCTACTATCTGCCGCTAAACCAGTTTCGGATCCAATTTACAAATTTGCCCTGGATCCCATGGACTGTTCCCTTCTTGGCCTGTCTCCTATGTTGTAACCTTGTCAAAAGCCTAATGTAGACTCAGCGGCTGCATTACCCTCAGCTGCACACCTTATTACCTCCTTGGAAAATTCAATCAAATTTATTTGACATCATCTTCTCTCTGACAAAGCCATGCAGACTATCCTAGATTAATTCTTGTCTTTCAAAGAGGAGTTTAAATGTGTCCCTCAAAGTTTTTATTCAAGTATTTCCCTACCACTGATGTTACTCATTGGCCTGAAGTTTCCTTATTTATCATTACCATGATTCTTGATCAATAGTACCACATTGGCTGTCCTCCAATTCTCTGGCACCCTTCCTGTGGCTGGAAAGAATTTTAAAAATAATATCAGAACCCCCTATAACCTGCTCCTTTGCCTCCCACTACATCTCATCTGAGCCTGGGAGTTTATCTACTTTCAAGCCCACTACACACTCATTGCTACTTTGGTCTTTAGTGGGCCCTAATCTTTCCCTGTTTATCTCCTTGTCCCTTAAATACCTTTAATGGTCTCTAAGTTTTCCTTTATTCTGCCTGTCAGTGTTTTTCATGCCCCCTCTTCATCATCCTCATTTCTTTGTTAAGTAATCCTCCTGCACCTTCTGTATTCCTCTAGGGCTTCTGATCTGAGTTGTGATTCTTTTGGATCTCAGCTGGATGAAGATGCATTGAAACAAGAAATACTGGATGACAAGGAAGGGAGATTGACACTTGGCATAACTTCATACAATTTTTGCATAATTTTTCATTCCTGCAGGCCGCCTACATACCAAGAGGAGTCAACCCCACAGCGCCCTCCTCGCTCTGCGTCCAGGCCTTCAGAATCATCACAGAAAGGTACAGTGCATACAAAGTGCCAAGTCTTGAGCCTAGTGGACAGCAAGTGCTGACTTTGGGTGGGATTGTTAAAGGAAGATATTTCACTGTCAAACATCCAGTTTATTAAATCTGCAGTCCATGATTTAGCACTGAAGTTGCTCTATGCATTGACCTAGCTGTAGTGATCTACCAAGGGGTAGGTCCTCATTTTATTTTCTCCATGCTTCATGGTCTTGCACTTTCCTCTTCAACTTTTTGCAGGAGCCTCCCATTTTCAATTTGAAGTTGACTAACATCATTATTTCTTTCTCCCTCTTGGTTTACAGTGCCATGTTTGCTGCTATCCAAATCTTCTAAGTGTGTGAGTTCTTTAGGGCCGGTGTAGTCTAGAATATGCGAGGCTAACCAGCTTTTGGTTTAATGAAGAGTCTTGTATAGTAAACAAGATGTTTTGTACATCTCAGTACATATTTACAAATTATAAGAATAGGCACTACGTTACTACAAGGACTGTTGGGAGCACCTACCGTTGTCTCCCATGAGATCCTACTTTATTCTCCCTCCAAGGTCTCATTACATCATTATTGAGGTGTTTATTGAACTCAAATGTTGACCCTTTCAGATTCATGTACAATGTGCATCCATTGAATCATCCTGCACTCAACTCCTTCAGCAAGTTCTCATGTCTTAGAATATTGCCAATTCAAACTTGTTGTCTTTTGTAATAAGTCATGAATGATCTTTCCTCTTCCACCATCTGCAGCCACATTCCAGAATTCTTGCAAGTTTGCTACATCTTTGTTTGAGGCTGAAAGCCTACTAATCTATAGGAAGTCTTGAGTTGCATATTTTGAAATGTTAAATGTAGGGAATTTTCAGCTCTGGTTCTGTCTCCTGTTTTATAAATATAATAAAAGTATATGAGAGGAATTATTCTACGTTCCTTCTTCAGGAGACCAGTTTACTTTGCTGAATGGAATTTCAGCAAATCAGGAGAACTATCTTTAAATTGGGTTTGACCTGGCAGCTGGGTTAAGATCAAATATAAGGGACTTTCAAAGTGTGCTGACATCCTAAGAAACAGCAGATGCAGTCAGTACTGTACAGGAGACAGCAATTTGTCCCATGAAGTCTGTACCAACTCTTTGGAGCAGTGCACTCAGTCTCCTTCATGACTCTGTCCCTGGAGATCTGTAAGTTTATCCCTTGCTGGTTCCCATCTAATTTCCTTTCAAAATTATATTGTATCCGCTTCCACTACCTTCCGCAGAGTCATTTTGTGCACCCCACATGTAGCAATGAGATTGTGACCTATAGCTCTGTTGATGGTGATAGTGAGTAGGACGGTACCATTCTCGAGTGTGTGCTACAGAATCTATGCAGTTCCAATTTGTACATGTGTTGTAACAGAGACAGTTCTTGTAATTCATGAGTATTGCTCCATTTTTTTGATGCCTCAAAAAAGTTTTGCAGAATGGTGAGGTCACATCATTTTTCAATACCTTTTGAGATATGTGATCTGGAACTTAAGCCTGATGAAATCAAAAGACAATTTTCTTTCTGGTCATGGTTTTGAAGGAAGATTGTGGCACCTTCAGGAAATAGATCCAAGCTAAATTCAAGACTATTTGACCGTCATATTACCGGGATATTAATCTAGCTTGCATGGAGGTTGAGGACTATGGCTGAACTGTACATCAACTCCATTGATTTGTCATTGTTCTATATGTTAAGTTATTCTTACCTAATAACAGCGTCAATCAAAGTCTTAAAAATATCAGTCATTCACAGCACGTCGGATCCAGATTTCCACAAAACTTGAAAGAAAAGCAGTTCTGACTTTCACATCTGAATGGCTTAAGTCTAATTTTAAGATTATGCCCCCTTTTTCTGGACTGTGCCACCAGATGAAATAGCTTCCATGTGTTGACCCAATTGAATCATTCAGTCATCTTCAGCACTTTAATTAGATCACCCAATAATAATCTTCTAAACTTGAGGGAATACAAATCTAGTCTTTGCAAGATGTAATCAAATTTTACCTTTGGTTACGCCAGCATCATACTGGTGAAGGCTACTCTGTATCCCCTTCATGGTAAATTTATCTTTCCTGAGATGAATGCCATAGCTCGAACTGGACTCTGACCAAGGTGCAATGCCATAATTCTCGTTATTAATTGGAGTTTGTGTGTTCAGTTTCTTATTACAGACAGTGACTGGAAGAATGGAGCAGACCTGAAATGAAGAAGATCAAAGTTTCACCTGTTTCTATTCTGTGTGGATTAGGCTGAAGGTTGCTGAAAGAGTTTCACCCAGTGCTTCCCTCAGACCTGGTTATGTGGGGTAAAGAACTACTAGACGTTTCATGTTTGGTGGCAGATTTAGTGTGAGTTACATATCAGTACCAACCTGGTCTTGTTTGGGGTGTAAAATCTTTATTGTTGATCCTGTTGCACAAATAACCCAAGGGATGATAATTTTTAATTTTTCTTAACAAGAATTAACAAGAATGTTAAGTTGTATTAACTTTTTATTATAAATATATTTGTTTTTAACTCAGGCTTTCACTGTATTCTAAACAGCCACGCTCATCAAATTGAATTGCTTGCAGTTGCAGCAAAACTTTAATTGTATGGTGGAATTTTGTGATTTCTGTCTTATTCTCTCTTCTTTATGACCTTTCCTGGTTCTGGTCAAGTTTATTTGATTTACTGTGGCCACAATGTTTATTGGACAAATACAATTTGTGTTGTAGTACTATTAATAACTTGTTATTGGTGGAACCCAGAGATGCCCCTTGTGTGGCTGGTGAGAATTATTTGTGGTTAGGGAAGGATGAGTAATGTTGAAACAAACTAGGTTCCACCAAGCACACTGCCCAGCACAAGAACTTGCAGGTGTTTGGAAAGATTGCTGCATACATGTCCTTTCCATTTTGATAGATCTTGAACCTACTTTCAAGCTAATTTGCCATTGTGTATCTCTGCTCCTCCCTTAAGAAATGCATATAATAGTCCTGAAACCTATATGTATTTTCAGTTTCACATATCTATATATTAAAATTCTGTCTCTGCGGGCACTTTCTGTTAACAGTTTTCCATATGAACTCTTATGACCACGTTTTATAATAAAAATTGCCCATGTCAACTTGTCATTACTTGAATTACACCCTCTCACCATAGGACACTTTACAGCACCACATAGGAGTTTATTCTGGCAATGTAAAAATAGGAACTGAATTATATTGACTAAATATGGAACTGAATCACACCTTTGTGCCATGTTATTGCCCTGCTTTACCTGAAAACTGTTCTTGATCTCAACTTCTTCCATTCAATGACTGCTGAATCTGCAAAAATGAAGCATTTTTCAAAACAAAGTTTGATTGTGGATTTGCAGCTCTTTCTAGAAGTGTGATTCTATTGATCACTCTAATGTGCAACATCTTGGCTGATTGGAAGAATTCTATATTTTGGTTGGATTTTCAAGTATTTGAAGAACCATTTTTCGTAAGTTGCAATTTTCAATCTTTGTTAGAAGGTGTTTGTTTTCAGCAGGTCTGGTTGCTGCAGGATCACAGGAATCAGCTTGAGATCAACAGTGTGCATGAAAAACACCAGTGAGTGATTCACCACTGGCTGTTCTGTTGTTGCCTGCGTATCTAAAATTGCAGGTATATGTTCACAAAGCTGTAATGTTTTGAGATAAAGAACACTTAATCCTAGTTGTTCTCCAAATCCAGCCGTCCCAACCCCACCAAATATTCCCAAATCCCCTCTTTACACTGAAATCCATATACACCACATCAACCGCTTTACCCTCATCCACCT